TTTGCACCCAATAACTGCTTTGCCATGCTCGCAAATAATAATGGAGGATAGGTATGCTAAGTAAAAGAAAGAGAGACAAAATTTCTGCCTCAATTAAACAACCGAACTCTTCCAACAGTTGCTAACAGAAAATAAATTAAATCTCCCATGCCGCTGGCTAAGAAAAGAGGAGGGATGGTTCCAACCCTTAAAGGTTTTTGGACATAACTGTTGAAAACCAGCTTCTGGAGATATCAAAGGAAAAGGGAAGAATGACGTAACAATTTTTTAGGTCATAGATAAATAACGAAATTAATAAAAATTATGCTTTTGGCAAACGTGTTTAGCTAAATAAGTTTGTTTTACGGACACACGGCATTTGGGGGCGTAAGGTCCACTTAAGAGACGAGAAAAGTGAAAAAAGTTTATCCCACGCTTTTATCTCAAACAGAGCAATCTATCTTAAGATAAATGGCCAAACCTCCCTAGAGTATTGAAAGTAGAATTGGAGAGATTCCTTCACACCAACCCCTTTCCCCTCCCCTCCCCCCCCTTTCCTTCCTTGTTCCCTATCCTCCATACGGAACTGGGGTCTGAAGGTTCAAAACTTACTTTGGAATTTCGAATAGGTTACGGTTTGTTCCACAAATGTCAACAACATAATGAACGCCACCATCACAATCAATTTTTGAGAAGCCATGTCTAAATTTGAAAAAATAAGAAAGAAATCTGTGTAGCATTTCCACGTAATAGCTTCAACTGAACTTTACAATACCGCAAGGAATTAGAGACAAAATAAAAAACGGCGTAATTTGAGAAGTTAGTTGTTAAAATAAACTATGACCTCGGTGAAAAAATTCCAGGGTTAATTCATAGTTTGAGCTATTTACAAAATCGATCCATGGGAATCTTTAAAGCATCGATTTAGCCGGAAGATCTTAGTTGTCCGTATGACAAACTTTCTGCCCTGGTTTAAGACTGTTGGTGGGCCTGCGTCTCCTGCCATTTGCGAGCGATTTTAAGCCTCCTGCCTTCAAAGTTTAGCTCTTATCAGGATACAGGATATCTTTCCTTTACAATAATTATAGTAAGAGGGGCGGCTTCTTAAATATTGTCCTTAAGCGCAGTTGGTTTGGAATAAGGTGCCATTTACCCATCAAAAAAGCCGGATGATATTGCGTTACAAAAGGCAATGTATTCTTCTGTGTGCTATTTTCTTTGTTTTTGAGTGACCTTTCTGTCCCGGAGAAAATAACTTCAGTGACAACATAAATATATGTTTCGCCAAAATTTCGTTTGATTATCCTCTATTCCTTTAGCGTATGTTGAAATTCTGTGCGTTTTTATTAAACATGGAAGGTGACGAGTCTGTTCTTAGGGGGTGTTGTGCTTCTCCTTTTAAGAATCCTTGCTCCACGCGAGATGGATGACAAGAAGCAAAATTCGTGCACTGTAAGATCTCTGTCTCCGTAATGTGTTTGCACTTCATGGGTCGATTCCTTGTTAAATATCTCTCCTTTGTGCCCATTGAGTCCGAGAACGTAATTTCTGAATCTGATATTCAGTTTCAGTCGTAAAATTTGATTGTTTTGAGGTAGCTGTTTACCCGTTGTACAAATTCTTCGATTTTGGTTATACTCAACAGACTTGAGGGTTAGTTGTGCTCTGGTCGATAATACCTTTTCTCATTTTTGCCATGAAAACATTGACAAAAGCTACGGCCATTATTGTACCCATCGCCGTTCCGTGGATTTGTAAATAATTCTGTCTGTTGAATTGGAATGAATTTTCTTGTACATTAGGCAGAACATTTGCTTTTAGAATTTGGTTAGGCCTGGTAATTAAATTGTTTTAATAAAAGTAGTTGCAAGCTTTTCATCAACAACTGTAGTAGGTACAATATTGGCCTAAATTCTAAAATGGCGGCCTACGTTTTCCCATGTTGACGGGGAAGTGTGAAACGCGATAGGACAAATTCATTTCCGAAGAGCACAAAAGATGCTACAAAGTTTGGCGGATCGTCTTTCAAAAGTAATAAAAGAGGTTTCTGCTGATAAATATTTTAAAAAAGCCTTTTATCTTCTAGTCGAAATTGATTGCTTATCTCGGTGCGAGTAAATAAAAAGATTGAAAAAAATGTGCGAATGCTTCTCTATTTAGAGAAAGAGGAATTACAACAACAACAGAATTCGAGCGATTATACTAAAACGATTATTCGCCTCAGGCTCAAAGAATATATATGTGTTATTTGCCGGCTGGGAGGTCCGTATGGTGAAAAACTGTGACCGAGGTCTTGAAAATACTACCCGAGGCCGTAGGCCGAGGGCAGCGTTTTCAAGACCGAGGTCACAGTTTTTCACCATACGGACCGACCCTTAGCCGGTAAATAACATATTTATTGTTTTTAAACTTGACGAAATTCTTTCCGAAAGAACCCGAATGATTTAGGGCTGTAAATACGGCAAGATCTTCCATAAACTGAACAATTTTTGAGCGAGTAAATGGTAGTTAAAATAGAGGTGATGCAAATTAAAGAGAGATGCCTCAGCGAAACATTTTCATTTCCGTAACGATAAAGGTGATTTAAAAGGCTTCCAAACAAACTTTGAAACATTATTTTTACAAGTATCTGTCACAATCTGACACCTGTCGATTAGAGAGCGCGTAAGAAAAAAAAATGCGTAAGAACATTTGAAAAACAACGGAACTAGTTTGGCAAGGACTGTCACGACAATGTTTTCTTCAAAATCAGTCAATGATCTAACGGAAAGTATTATTCACTCTCATCGACGATTCATTCATGTACGAAGATTTACCTCTGTTCATTAAGTAAACGGCGAGGAAAGTAATTGTAAGTAAATTCAATTGTTTATTTTGAAGTTGTGAGAGTTTGCTCGTTTGTTTGCTGCAATGGCGTGTGTAAATCTGGTCTTTCCTTCACAAAAACTAAATTCGAACGGCACACTCCAACGAGACACAAGGGAATTTAATGCGACCTTTTCTCCAAACATCAGTCCTTCAGTTTCTCTTGTGCAATTTACGGTACAAATGTCCAAATCGAACGGAACTGGAAAGACTCACCGGGAGCAGATATTTGTCGTAAAACTTAAATTAAAACTTCGCTCGCCCTTTCACTACGAACAAATTGCTCGAGAAAATACAGATATTAAATGAATGAAGGTTCCATCGTTCAGTTTACCTGTAACCAAATACCTCACGTTTTAACTTTCTGGGTACTTTTTGTGAACGATTAAAATTAATTGCAGACGGTTTTTAGGCCGCTTGTCAACCAACGTAATGACACTATTGTTTATACAAATTCATTCTGAAACCAATATTTTTCTGTCAACTAAAGTGATTTGAGAGAGAGGAAAGAGAGGATTCATAAGTTATTTATCGGCTTGAGGTAGTGACCAACGTGTTTGTTTAAAAATACTGCCCAGCCGGAAAACGAGATGTAGTTATGAAAAATGACAACGAAAGTTAGGATGTACTCGGCGACTTACGAAAGTGTTACCGTGGCCCGTGGGCAGAGATAGGAAAATACTGACCGGGTAAAGAACCAATCAGATTGCAGGATTCGTTACCGTGCCCTCTAAAAAAACAATAAAGTTGAATAATCACCCTGACTTTTTCTCGGAGATTATCATCAATATTCATTGAACATGAGGCGAGTCATAGTTAATTTCTAAGGTTAATTAGTTTGTACTTATTCAAATTGTAAAAAAAACTCTGAATATTAATTTTCTTCCTCAGATAGTACTACAAAGTAAAAGTTAGGCATTTGATTACTTAAAGAACTAGAGAAATTACGTTTTAAAAATTTAAAAGGCCAAAATGACGAAACATTGTACATCAGTCCGCCTTCTATCTTTCTATGCGGTTAAATGTTTTCCTTTCGTTGTTTTGATTTAGTTTCTTTTCTTTTTTTTTACCAAATGAATAACCTTTCAGTGACAAAGATATATGCTTTTATCAATGAAAAATTATAAACATCGAGATATACTTGTAGCGCCTTCACGTAATGTGGTAATCAAACAAGAGTCAACAAAACATAAAATCCATTGGGCTACAACTGGCCACGAACCTTTATCAAAAACATGCAGAGCACACCTCGTTTGAAGTAAAAACGTGATAAACGGCGCTACTGTTGACACCTCTAATTAAAATGTCAGTAATACTATATTATTGGCATTACAGCCAAAATACGAATGACTACATGACTACCATGACAAAATTGACTATTGTTACCATTTTCTTCTGGTTAAGTCTTTCATGTAACACAAATTATTTATTTGACTTGAATAACAAAAAGAGATAAAAGTTACGATTTTAGAGCAAATTGGATTTCATGATCAATTTGGTAAGAGCTATCAATTGCATTACATTTCTCTTTTTTTTTTTTTTGCAGGCAAAGAGGAGTTTTTTCAATTCACTATCGCTTGCATGCTGTGTTGTCTCTGGATACGTTGCAACAGCGAACGCTGATGTCATCAACTCTCTTTTAATCAAATGAGATGAATTGACCTTATAGATGGCTATTCGACTTACAATTTAAATAGAATTTCTTTCTGACATACAATAGTATACACTAATAATTATTTATGCTGAAATCATGTGTCATTATCTGAACCGGCTGTTCCACGCAAAAGGTTCTTTAAATCTGTTTTTGTTAAGGATATAACCGCATCTTTTTCTCGCAGGGAAAAAAAAATGCCGTCATTACCAAATAAACTCGTTGTTTCGCCGCTTCCATGTCGTGGTGAGCTATTGTTTTAAACAGCGTACTCATCAACTCATGATTGGGCGAATTCACATCAGATCCGGAAAATTTCCATGAGAAAGAAGATCATGTCACAAGAATACAAAGATTCACCTGTCTTATGACTTTTAATATTGTTTGTTAGTGATGCCTAGTGAAATTATATCAGCTGTGCTATATACAAGCCATTTTACTGGCTTTTAAATTTTGAGAGAATTTTCGTTGAGGTCAGAAATCAATTGCCTACTTTACCAGAGTGATGAACACGAGTTTAAACGCAGAGTCCACAGAATGGACGCGTCATGGAAATCTCTCATGCTACTACCTGACTCGATTTTTAGTCTATAGTCAAGATGCGTTGAAATTGCCTTTTATCCTAAATTGTGTGCTCAATGCAGTTTTGTCAGTTACAGCGATCGTTGGAAATTCAGCGATTCTCTGGGCGTTGACCAAATCGTCTTCGACGCTTCGCTCCCCATCAAAGGCTCTTCTCTTCAGCTTAGCAATGTCTGACCTCGGAGTCGGCGCCCTTGTTCAACCGCTTTATATCACTTACAAAGCAGCCGAAGTGAACGATAACTTTCGAATGTTTTGTGTTGCTGGGATTGGCTTCCATTTGTCTGCGAATGTGTTTTCGGCCGTGTCTTTTTTAACTGTGACTGCGATCGCTATCGACAGACTACTGGCGCTCCATTTAAAAAAGGGTTACAACGCGGCCATTTCTCTGAGACGTGTTGCCATTTTACTGCTCCTTCTTTGGTCAGCAACAAGCTTATGGGTCATTGCCTGGATCATGAGTATCAAGATCTATCAAATCTTCAATATTGCAAGCGTGTTTGTCTGTCTCTTGATATGCGCTTCGGCTTATGTCACCCTTCAAACTCGTCTGCGCATGCTACAGAACTCCATGATCGCCTCACGTTTCCAAACTCAGGACACTGAATCACAAGTTATTTTTCATGTGAAAGAAAACACACCCCATCTTCAGCTTTATCGACGATCCGTGGTCACAATGTTTTATATCTACATTCTGTTAATTCTCTGTTACGTTCCATATTTGTCGATGTTCATTGTTATAGAAGTAACGGGGAGAGATTCAGTGAAGATCGCGTGTTTGAGCTTTGCAATGACAGTGTTGTTCGCAAATGCATCATTAAACCCTTTTCTTTACTGTTGGAGAATTCAAGAGATTCGCCGAGAAATTTCAAAAGCAGCGAAGAATATTTTTTGTCGAAAATGAGCCGAAATAAAAGTCAAGGTCTATGAGGAAAAAACTCAAAACTCAGCTTTGATGAATGTAAATGTTCACCAGTCATTCAGCCCCCGAGGGTCATTAATGACAGCTAGAATGATATGAGTGTTTGCAATCAACATTTCAGAATATTTCAAACCTGAGTTGGTTTTTCTCTCAAATTAAATTTTAATTTTCTTTTAAATGTTTTTGACAAATGTGGGATGAGTGTGAATTTCTTTAAACTTTATGTGAACGGAATTTAATAAATTTTACGTCGTATCTGTAAATAAGTAATTTCTTCGAAACCTGTGAGATTTTTCATCACACATGCTGATAGTTTGACAATAAGTTAAAAAGGTTCTCAAGATCTCAAGATCTCAAGCCCGCTTATGTTTACCAAGCCCGCGAGTTGGGATGAAAAAAAAATCAACAATTACCAAAAAAAAAAGGTTAAAAAATAAAATATTTAGAAGAAATGTAAATATTTTTAGCGTGCAAAGGTAATTATTTAATATAGGGGTTATGTTTGCCAATGAACCTAACAAAACTTTTAGTGTGAACGCATTATCACCCAATGAAGGGCTACTTTAACATTTTTTTTTGATTAGTCACCTCGGTAGTATTTTTTTATTATTATTAATATAATGTTTGCTCTTGTACAGAGACAATATTACTTAGACATTCTCGTTGCCTTCGTGTTATACTATGAGGGTGCCAATAAGGTTATGGCTTTTACGGCTGACGGCTAATTTCTTTACATTACGATTAAAAAAAAAAGAAGATTTCATTGTCAATTTTTTTTCGACCAATAATTAAAATTGGTCAATTCTTACGCCTGACTGCTGATTTTTTTGGTCATTTTATAGTTTACAGTTAACTCCACTGGGAACTTTATATCAACAACTCAAAGAGTGCTCCGGTACACATTGCTTTAATCTCATTTTCAACGTTTAGAACTTTGAAATACAGCGTTACAGTAAAGAGACTACAAAAGAAGCTTTGATTGAGTAGCCAAGAGCTGCTCTATGGGTGTGCACAGTGATATGTAATAATCTGTAATCGTGTTACAAGACCTGAAAAAATCGAAGGGAAAAAGGTGCTTAATAATGACATTTTTTTATATCTTTAACCCTTTAAACCCTAAGAGTGACGGGCTTCTAATTTCGCCCTACAGAATCGCCCTTCAATCCACTGTAAAGGCCATGAGGAGAAAAGAAGTTATTACCACTTCAAGAGGCTCCTGATTATCAAACAAATTCCCTTTGCCATTACCGTGGAAATGTAGAGAGATTAGTGAGGAGAATATGAATAAAAATTTTGGGGCGAAAAATTAACAGAGGGTTAGAGCTAAGATAGTGATGGTTAGAAACTTCGAACCACTCAATTTTCATCACACATGCTGATAGTTTGACAATAGGTTAAAAAGGTTCAGCGAAAAACCATGGCCACAAATCAGTAATAGTTACATGTATCACTATAGAATTGAAAAAGTAATCGCTGGTCGTTTGGATCGAGCGGTCGGTTACTCAAAAGACTGGGTTGACAAAAGGTGACTTTTCCTTTATTTTATCAACTTTTGCTGTTGTCGTTGTTTTTGTTGGCTTGGTGAACAGAAAGAATAGAAGAATAACCTGTAATATTCTACTTAAGAATATTCCTAGGCATTAGATCTCAAGCCCGTTCATTACTGAAAAAAAAAAGGTTGAAAAATAAAAGTTAGAAAAAGAATGAAACGTTTTAAAACCTTCAGGGTTTACGACTTTTTATGACGGCACAGAAGCGAATCACTTTTATGGTGACTGGGAATCAAAAAAGTTAAAAAGGGGAAGCGTGCGAAATATAACTGTAAAACTGATAATAAAAGTTCACTGAGCTGACTTGGCTTCCACTTGGTGCAGAGGCTTAAATTTCCGCTTAGGACTATTCTGGAGCAAATAGGCACAGGAAAATATCCAGCTAAAAAAAAATGCAATAAAATCATTTTAAAAAGTACCAATTTTTTTTTTCGGTTTGTTTAATAATGTTAGCAGTAAAACTCTTACTCATCATAGTTTTACTAAATTTTACTTCATCTTAAATCTTTCCTTTCGTGTTTCCTCGAAACACGTTAAGTTTCATTAGGAGAAACATTAGAAAAACATTAAATTGTGACGAGCCATTTTAGCTTTGTTAATTGCTGTAAATGATCCAAAGCTGTGTAAATTAATGGTCACTGCTGGTGAAGAGCATTGATTTTCACTGTTTTCCTTACACGCGTTAATGGAACCTTTTTTTTTTATTCCAAATGTCTATTATAACATGTTTTTACAAAAATTGAAAACTTGCATTGGGATGAAAGGTGATCAGTGCAATGTTTCTATCCATTAGTTTCAATTCGTATTTGTCCTTTCTTTGATATTTGAAGTACTGAAGTGCTGATCGAAAAGAACGATTTGAATTCAGAGCGAGCACTTACGACACTAGAAAATGAGTAATAAGAAATATTGACATTATGCAGGAAGCTTGTCTTCTTGGAACTTGGACCTAAAGAAACGGCTTTACTTACCACTAGTCACCTTTAGCTCAAAGGTAGTGCATCTGAGGTACAAACTGAAAGGTCGTAGGGTCGACTCCTATTGGAAGCATTATTATGCCTGTGTCTTTCACTGAATAACATTATCTTTCAACAAATCTTTTCGATTCGTAGAACCCTACTAAGGGTTCTAATACGATCGATATATATTCCCACCCGCAAATGGACTGTTAAAATTTTATCGCACTCTTATGACTGTTTCATCGGAATCTACTGATATTCTGGCCAAAGGGTAAGATGGGGGAATGGGATGTTGATTAAGATTTAGAGAAAGTACTGTGTTTATGACTAGAATGAAACCGAATGACCCTGACCTCAAATTGAAGACCTACACTGCTGACAACAAAATTGTAACTTGGATGTAAGTGCAACCCGGAAAGCTGAAAAGTTTTCAGTTAAGCATCCAACACCGTAAAGAATTGCAAAAACCAAACAACTTCATTAGCTGCCGAAAAGAAAGTTATCCGCACTTTCTCTTTGTATGTGTAGGGATTAAAGCGGAAACTTATGGGTGTACTAAGCGGAACCATATAATGTGGAGATTCGTTTGACGATCTGTGGAGATAAAATGAAGCCAAAAAATTATGCTGATGATGTAGTTGGCTAATGTGGCTTTATACATAACGAATAATGAATAATGAAAGAATTCTTTAGTTTTACAAATTGACAACATCGCTAAAGGCTATCCGCTGCACCCTGCCAAATAACTACTATTTGAAGTCATTTTTCTCTTGTCCTTTTTTTTTTTTATATTTATGATTAAAATTCAAGTCACGGGGCAAATTAGACAATAAATGATTGATTGATTGACCAACTGAGTGAATCAGTGAGCGGTTCATCTGTAAATGTAAGTGACTGCGGCTCACTTTCGAGAACAGAACTTTTCGAATTCACCTTATGTCTCTAGTAACCCTAGTAACCTTAGTAGTCCTCTAACATTCACCATTATTATAAGTCATACTTTTCTTTCAAGCAGCTATGCATTCCCCTGAAAGTTAGTACAGAACATTTTGCACGATATAAGCTGTTAGTTCTGTATATTTCCATTGCCTGCTTCTAACATAATCGTTTTGCAAAGTGAGGACCATTTTACTTCAAAGAGTCAAATCAGTCAGGTTTATGACGCAGCAAATAATTTCCTAGTCTCATAGACCGCATCCCAGATTTGTGGAAAGTGACAGGACAAGGTAAAACAATTTGCGCATATGATATAGTTTTGGTGATCAAGTTCTTCGTGTAACTGAATTCTATTTGTGAACTTTTTATCCATTTAAAGGCAATTAAGGTAAAATAATGGAAATATCAAACAACTTAAACCAACACATTAAAAACACCCAATCATGTGCGTCGCGAGATCAAAAACCTAAAAATCCAAACTTACCATTTACTTAGTGTTATATATGGCAATTTTTTTCTTTCGTGGCATGCGGAATTTTAAATATTCTTAATTTTCATCGCATACTTTAAAAAGCTTCTGAATTATGTAGGCATTTAGCAAGTATGTGCATTTTACTACATGGCACAGAAATGTAAATTTCGGGAATGTAATTTTTGCAGGTTGGCCATTTCTTTAAGATGTACGCAGAATTTTGCAGTCAGGGATGATCGAGATTTCTGCTAGAAAATAATGTTTATGATTTCCTTTTCAAGCTGCTGACCATTAGGAAGGAAGGAAGCGTAAAATGTTTAATCTCCTTATGTTTTATCGCACTCGACGTATCAGGGCCATTTCAACAAAATTACAATAACACCTAACTTCCCAAGGACTCGTACAACAACAACAACAACAAAAATCACGCGAGAGGCCAAAATGCTGCCCACTTGCCATGAAAAGTTTCACAAAAGCGTTGGGCTAAAAAAATTCATGAGCTTCTTTTTATCATTTTCAATTATTTTTTTGATTTTGTTGCTGCGGAAACTTTCGAAAAGTCTCCAAACTTTCATGCGACACAGTAGCGACCACTTCCCACAAAAATCTGTTGTAATTTAACCAACTCAACTGGGCAAATCTAATTTTAAAATATTATGAATGATTTTTTAAAACTTTGAGCAGCAGTGTGCTTGCTTTCAATTTTCTTTTTGAACTAAGCAAAATGGAATGTAATTCCATCTATTTAATAGAGAAATGTTCTCCTCATGCATCGCTAAAGGAGTTTTATAGTTACTTTTTAATGAGCTTCAAACAGCTGATTACACATTTGGCAGAATATAAAAATGAAACGTAGGCTCTTCAGTGCAGTTGAGCGATACAGCACTGCCTGATGATGAAGACTTTTTTTCTTGTGGCATTTTTTCTTTTTGGCTTTGCCAGCGCCAAACCAAAACCGGCAAAGCGAGCGTTGTCATGCAAAGGTAAGAAGTCTCTCATTTTTGTTACTGTTCTAAGTTCAAACCTCTAATTTTCGAAGTGACTGCGATTTGGAGTGTTTTGTTTTCTGTTGTTTGTTTTTTTCCTTAAAATGCATAAATCGCAATGAAACGATTTAACAGTAAGAACTGTAACTGTATCCAACCTAAGATTGTTGATTAAAGAATTGCATCCTTTAATTTTTTACCCAACTTTTATTGAATGTATTTTTCTTATTGCTGTTCTCTCCAGCCTTTCCAGCTAAGTTGAGTGGGAGACTTTACATGGTAAGTTCAATTATTTCTCTCAAGAGTGATCAGCCGGTTGAATCAGGTACTAAGTGTTGCAAGGCAATAAAAAACAACGACAACAACAACAATAAATTAAAGATATTAAGTAAGTTCATCGGTTCAATAAGGGTAAAAGCTGTTTGAATTTACATACTTGGCAGAGAACGAATAGACTACGCATGAGAGATCACCCGAGTCAATCTGCGACACTGAACTGAACTGGCTTCTTAATTCCCAAAACGAGGGGATCTAAAGCTTTCACTACAGCTATCTTATATACAACGCTGTGTCGAGAAATTACTCACCTTGCGAGATTCTCGCCTACAATGTAGAGTCACATCTTCTTTAAACTGTAAGATTCTGGATCGTTCGGAGCTCACTTACGACGAAGTGAATGAGGGGGAAAAGATAAATCTAAGGTCGGTAGTCACATGACTTAAACAGCTAAATTTATTTTTGGAATTTTAAGAGACAATTTGGCTCAGTGGTTTGGGCGCAGGGCTGGTAATCTGGTGGTATTAGGTTCAAGCCATCCACCTTGCTACTCACCGGAATGTTTCTTGGTTACCCCGAGTTTCACATCTTGACTACGCTTTGTTTATGGCCAGCTGGCACGCCTTTGGCCAGTTTGGAATTTAAACATGCTACTTTAATGAACATTTTTTGTTTCCAATTCATTTACGTATTAGCCCTGAAAATCCCCTTTAGGGTGAGCGCTCAATTAAGGAGAAATACATACAACTGTACATGCATACATACATACATACACCCCATACACATATATACATCTATGTAGATATAAGCTTCTGACTCTTGTCCTATCTTTTGATAACATTAGATTGATTAATTAATCCGTGTTTGTCCACTATCTAGGTAATAGTCAGTGGCTCTGGAGGCACGTCTAAGCTTGAAATAACGTTCAGCATGGACTCAGAACGCGAGATAGCGCATTTAACGTCACAATATGCCGGTACCGAAATTAACATAATACAGGATTACAAAGGGGTAAATAAGTTCGTTTCCTTTTGTTCGCCTAATTGTTTTTGGAAATTGTGGAATCATCCTCGCCAGTTATTGAGAATCAAACTACATAATCATTTTATTTTAGTTTTTTCTTTTGCTTGTTTGATTCTTGTTTATTTGTATTTATCTTTTGTTTAATCTTTGTATTGTTTTGTTTGACTTGTATTTGCAAGTGTGTTTCGAATATATGTTTGACTGGCATAACCAGCTCTTATCAGAAAAACTGGTTTTACCCAAAATGCATCCGACCATTAGCAAATGAATGAGGTGCTATAAAATGATATGGACATTTTGCTCCACAGGGCAAGACATACACGATTTACCCCCAGGGATGTTATTCTTCACCGCTCGAGGGTGAATTGTTTCCCCTTAACCAACTCAAAGGCTTAACGTTGGAAGCAAGCGGAAAACTTGGACTGAATGGCGTCAAGGTTAATGTGTATGGAGGAATGGTAGATCAAGGCAAGTGATGTACTTCTTTTGCAAATATTTCGGCGCACGATCTAGAACCTAAATTATTTCTTCACAACTGAACGATGAATTTCCTCATGAAGCTATTCTTTTCTGAAATGGACTCCTTTCCTTTTTGGTCGCAAAGAAATTTATTTTGAATTCAGTTAAATTGACCTGAAGAAAACAATCAGTAGAGACGATAGAAAAAGCGGGAAAAAAAGAAAGAACACACGCAAAAAAATGAAGTCTCTAAAACATACCAGAGCGGCTAACGTTAGCCGAATCGACACCCTCTATCGTTCTGCGTCGAGAATATTAATGTCTGCAATCGTACGTAGTAAAAAGAGAAGACACTGAACTAAACCTCAACGACAATGATGGGAATGACAGATCGTAAAAACGAATGTGGTTTTACTGAGTAACATGATCTACTACTCACCTCTCTTTTCATCGGTCGGTAGGGCACTAAAGCAGACAGATTAAAATTAGATGAAGTACTACAGGTAATGGACGATTATTTTGATTGTGGATGTTTCAACCTGCAGCCCATTGGATTTTTACTTTCGAGGATAACGATAGCGAAGTGTGCATACCAGTCAGCTTTGGTTCAACGAAATCGGGATCTGCCACCTCTGGAAGGTATTCAATAGACTGTAATTGTGTAAAGCACATTCTGATTGAGTTTTGCAACCGAAAGCTAGTATAATCACAACTAATCAGAGCGAGAAAACATATCAAAATTAAGCCCCGGAGAACTAAGCGTAAAAGCAAGCTAAGTTTCGTAGGGCATGAAAATTTGGGCGTCCAAGTACTCATCTAATCCAGTTTTCACCCAATTGATTGAGAGGATGGCGCAAGTTTGTTAAACCCAATATTGAGCCAAATTATTTCACTTTGACGTTTGGCTTTTCGCCTCTCATAATATTTTTCTTCCCAAATCATCTTTTATTTTCCTTGTTTAAGCAGCGGATCGCCACAAAAACAGCAGTACAAAAGAAGTAGTTTGCGTACTTATAAGAGAGCTTGAGCGAAGACGCTTTTGAGGCGCAAGTGGTTAAATATGCCAGAAGGGTCCATTCTTCTGATTTCCTTCTGCGACTTACCAACGTCTCTGCAAAATTTCCCCTTATGCCAATGAAGTTTACTCGTGTACTTGCCAGTCTCTTATCAGTCTCCCTAGCTTTCCTGCAAATCTATGGCATTTATAGCATCAAAAACAACAACGAACAAAAACTCGAGAGACAAAAGCAAAATGCGAACAAGGCTCGCGCATGGCATGTCGCACTTTTTGTTGTCATTTTTGTTGTCGTTGTTTATCACTGTTTTTGGTTGTTCTCACATAGTTGGATAGGTAGAGGTATTTGATTAACACAGATCAGAGAGGTTTCGTGAAATCCAATATGTTAGATGCTGCCGTAAATCGTGCGAATCGACTTCTGATAGTCCGAACTGAATAAAGTCACCTTAAAAATACCCGATCATTGCGATCATTGCACTTTCAATCTCAAACCTTCTGTGTTGACAGTGTGGCTTCTTGACGAATTTTTGTTTGTATTTAGGTTTTTGGACTTGAGCGAAAGCGTCGATCCTGAAAAGCTTCAGATCCCAGAAGATTGTAATGCTTCGCCGCAGCGTAGATCCCTTCCAGACCTGCTACATCCAAACAATATTCATACCGCGAGCGTACAAGCCGCTATGAAAAGAGGATTCGCCTGGCTCGGCACTCAAAGGGACCAGAAAAGAGGATTCCCTTGGACTCATTTCCAGAGAAGGGGATTCCCTTGGACTAACTAACCTGCAGCTTGCTGACAAAGAGTCATTATCTTGACCCGTCAAAGTACAACAGAGAATGGAAAGTTTAACCCTTGCTCAGTCGATTCACTTTTGAATAAATATATGACTGTAGTTGCCTCTTGAGCATTGAATTAAAGTTGATTTGTTAATCATTACTCGAGCAAGTGTAACTATTCGCTTGTTAACGGTATAATAATGATCTCTCTTTCACCAGCATGACGCTGAGAAAAAGCAATGTGAATTGCCTTCTAATGAGAAAGTTAAATGTTGCAAAATCTTTCGTGCGAGTCTGGAGGCCACACCGTGTTTTATTGTTTTTGTTTCAGTCATTATTTCACCTTTGTGAGCATTTTTTTCCATTGGAAACATTTTCTGTTTCCCTGCTATGGCCATAGGACAAGAAAGAACAGTTTAAGATTTTTTTCACACATCGTAGATAGAAAAAAAAATTAAAGTTTACTCAATCTTCTTACGACCAATGGTTAAAATTTGTCCATTTTTACACCAAGCTGCTAAATTTTTTTAGCCATCTTACGGCTAGCGGTTAACTTCTTTAACATCCAGATTAAAAGTTTGAAAACTTCTCTAACAATAGCATTTGAAAGCTGAATAATTCCTGAAGAAATGACTCTTGAATGAATGGTACCGTATAAGAAAAGGGGGAAGGTGGGTAAATGGAAGAGTTATCCAACGGTATTAGTTTTTTCACTACAGCAGTTTCTACTCGTCCGATAAAGTATTGTCTAATGTGCATATTGGGTTGTTTACAATAAATACCCGATAATAAACCGTTTAAATTGTTTGTTTCACGATGTAGTCATTTGAGATGTGACTGCTTGTTTTCACCAGGTGATGGGGTCGACTGCTCACGTGTTACCATTTGTTGTATCACGGCGATGTGATGCTATCGATGGATTTCGATCCCCATTATTCCGGTGGGATCTGGTTTTGCGAGAGGTCTTACTCCAAGTTGTTTCCTCGGCGGTTTGCTGTCATACCGGTCTCCTGTTGTGTTTCTTGATCGTTGGTATCCACGCTTCAGGAATTTCGTTTCAGGAATTTCGCCATGATACAGATGGTAACGCGCACTGCAAAGCACACTGTTTCAGGGGTGTCGAGCAATGCTTGTGTAATGAGTCTTCAAGATGACGTCTTTAAAACAACAAATACAAATATATAAAAGCACAGCAAACAATACTTACTTTAAAATGACTTGCAAAGCAAAAAAAAATCACGCGAGAAGCCATATCCTACCGCCTTGCTATGACTAATTTAGTAAAAGCATTGGTCTAAAGGCTTTAAGTGTATTTCTATTCTTTTTAATCATTTTGTGGGATATTTTTTCCCGGGAAAATCGATTGTAATTTCGCCACTTTAAATGAACAAATCAAACTTTAAATTTTGAGATTCGCCGAGAAATTTCCAAAGCAGCGAAGAATATTTTTTGTCGAAAATGAGCCGAAATAAAAATCAAGGTCTATAAGGAAAAAACCCAAAACTCAGCAGTGATGAAAGTAAGTGTTCACCCATTCATCCCCCGAGGGTCATTAATTACAGCTAGAATGATAAGAGTGTTTGCAATCAACCTTTCAGGATATTTCAACCTTAGCTTTTTCTCTATAATTAAATTAAAATTTTCATTTTAATGTTTTTGACAAATGTAGGATGAGTATGAATTTCTTTAAACCTTATGTGAACGGATTTTGATAAATTTTACGTCGTATCAGTAAATTTGTAATTTCTTCGAAACCTGTTAGAATATAAATCGAAACAAAACTTTACAAGAAATGTAAATATTTTTAGCGTGCAAAGGTAATGATTGAAGATTGGGGTTATGTTTACTAATGAACCTAACGAAAACTTTTAGTGTGAACGCGCTATCGCCTAATGAATGGCTACTTTAACACTTTTTGATTACAGTCACCTTGGTAGTATTTTTTTTTTATTATTAATATAATGTTTGCTCTTGTGAAGAGACAACATTACTTAGAAATTCTCGTTTTGCCTTCGTGTTATATTATGAGGGGCTAGATGGGGTTATGGTTTTTACGGCTGACGGCTAATTTCTTTCCATTATAATTAAAAAAATGGTTTAGCGTGACCCCAAATAGTTTTTTTCGACAAATGGTTTGAAAAAACGGGACAAAAAAAATTTTACATCATTTACGACGACTAATTTGTTCTCGACATTTTAGAACCTTACTGGTTAACTCCATTCATTGTTTTAAGACGATCAACAACAACTCAAAGAGTGCCTAAAAATTATTAAAACTCATTTTCATAGTTTTAGAAGTTTTGAAATACAGTGGAAAGTCTTCTTAAAGGCGATTCTTACCACGGTGGACTGGTCATGCGTGATCTCATAAAGATGATGCAATCTGAATCAAATGGAATGACAAAACAGCTGATAACATGCATCATTTTCGATCCTTGCTTTTAAGTCTAGACAGTCAGAACCTCGGCGGTCCGAAACTGTAACACGATTCATTGTTTTTGACGAAACTACAACTTTTTTGATCGTGGAAAATCCTTTAAAAACTATATAGTTAAATTTCTACATACCACTAAATACTTTTGATGTTGTTGTATTTGAGTGGAGATTTTACCATGGTCATTGACCATTTGAATTGCCTCCTGCAAGATGAAATAAGAATCTGAAACAAAAGGAGTGACAAAAATGCATCATTTTACACAACAGCACATTTAAATTCTAGACAGTCAGAACCATAGCTGAGAAACGTGATAAAGCGATTCATTGTTTTAAGACGACGAAACTACTACTAAATGGCGCCTAAAAACTATAAAAACTGTAGGGTTGTGACGTAGACCCCACATATACTGTTCCTTGTATTTTTGGCGGTTACGGCGTAAACCAACTGCTGTAACACTAAACCATTTTGGTTTGAACTAAACCTTTTGTCGTCACGCTAAACCATTTCACATTACGGTGAGTAGATTGATGGGATACTAAGCAATTGCGGCTCACGATTAACCATTTCCGATAACCTAAGCCATTTCACACTACTCTGAACCGTTTGTGTCAAGTCACTGAACCAAAGTACAGTTAGCTGAACCGTTTGTCATTTCGACACTGAACCATTTCAGGTAACACTTGGCCAATCGTGTTTTTATTGAATCAGTTCAACAAGGGTGGCTACACATGCAGTTTCTGAATTGTATAAATCATTTTTTGTTTGAATAATTAACTTCACCAAAGGCGACTTGTCCATTTGTATTTTAAATAAATCTCGTGAGATAAGATAAAGCGTTCTCCAAAAGATAATTAGACCCTTTCTGTTGATTACAAACCATTTATTATGCATATGTTTTTGGCGGTGACGGCCGCCCATAGAGGACCATTTTACTCCAAACAGTCAAAGCTGTCAGGTTTATGAAGCAGCAAATAATTTCCTAATCTCATACAGATAAGCCCCGCATCCCAGATTTGTGGAAAGTGACAGGACAAGGTAAAACAATTTGCGCATACGATATAGTTTTGGCGATCGAGTTTGTTGTGTAACTGAATTCTATTTGTGAACTTTTTAACCATTTCAAGGTTATTAAGGGAAAATAATGGAAATATCAAACAATTTAAACCAACACATTAAAAACACCCAATCATGTGCGTAGCGAGATCAAAAACCTAAAAATCCAAACTTACTATTCACTTGATTGATATAATGCAAACTTTTAAAATACTTAAATTTCATCATATACTTTAAAGGACTTCGAATTCATCTTTAAAAACTAAATTATCCTCTTCTAAATTATGAAGGCATTTAGCAAGTATGTGCATCACACTTGATGGCACAGAAATTAAAATTTCGGGAATGTAATTTTTGCAGGTTGGCCATTTCTTTACGATGAAGGTAGAATTTTGCAGTCAGGGATGATCGAGATTTCTGCTGAAAAATAATGTTTGAGATTTCCTATCCAAGCAAGCTGAACATTAGGAAGGAAGAAAGCGTAATATATCAATTTATCTAGAAACCATAGTTGGGGTAACATCTTCATCCTCTCGCTCAGAAAGTCGTTTTCTGAGTCCGTATCATAGTAACACCTGACTTCACAAAGACTCGCACAACAACAACAACAACAAAAATCCCACAAGAGGCCAAAATGCTGCCCCCTTGCCATGAAAAGTTTCATAAAAGCGTTGGCTTAAAAAAATTCATGAGCATCTTTTTATTATTTTCAATCATTGTGTTGGTGTTGTTGCTGCGGAACCTTTCGAAAAGTCTGCAAACTTTCATGCGATACAGTAGCGACCACTTCCCACAAAATCTCTTAAAAATTTCACCAACGCAGCTAGGCAAATCTAATTTTGAAATACTTTCAATGATTTTTTCTAAAGCTTTAAGCAGCTGTGCGCTTGCTTTAAACTTGGACTGAGCAAAATGGGGTGTAATTCCATCTATTTAATAGTAAGAGAAATGTTCTCTCCATGCATAGCTCAAGGAGTTTTAAAATTATTTTTTAGTGAGCTTCGAACAGCTGATTACACCTTTATAAAAAGGTGACATAAATATGTTTGATTGACATAAATATGTTTGATTGACATAACCATGTTTGATTGACATAACCATGTTTGATTGACATAACCAGGATATAAAGATGAAACATAGGCTCTTCAGTGCATTTTAGCGATACAGCTTGATGATGAAGACTTTTTTTCTTGTGGTTTTTCTTCTTTTTGGCTTTGCCAGCGCCAAACCAAAACCGGCAAAGCGAGCGTTGTTATGCGATGGTAAGAACAAGTCTCTCATTTTTGTTAATGTTTTAATTTCAAACCTCTTATTTTCGAAGCAACTGCGATTTAGAGTTTTTTGTTTTCTGTTGTTTATTTTTTTCTTTAAATGCATAAATCGCGATGATAACGGTAATAGCTATAACCTACTTAACTTATTCAACCTAAGATTGTTGATTAAAGAATTGCATCCTTTAATTTCTTACCCAACTTTTATTGAACGTATTTTTCTTATTGCTGTTCTCTTTAGCCTTTCCAGCTAAGTTGAGTGGAAGACTTTACATGGTAAGTTCAATTATTTCTCTCAAGAGTGATCAGCCGGTTGAATCAGGTGCTAAGTGTTGCAAGGCGATAAAAAGCAACAACAACAACAACCGCAGCAATAAATTAAAGATATTAAATAAGTTCATCGGTTCAATAAGGGTAAAAGTTGTTTGAATGTACATACTTGGCAGGGAACGAATTAAACTGGCTTTTTCTTAATTCCCAAAACGAAGGGATCTAAAGCTTTCACCACAGCTATCTTATGTACGACGCTGTGAGAAATCACTCACCTCGTGAGATTCTCGCCTACAATGTAGAGTCACATCTTAAAACTGTAAGATTCTGGGTCGTTCGAAGCTCACTTACTACAAGGTGAACGAGGGGGAAAATCTAAGGTCGGTAGTCATATGACTTAAACAGCTCAATTTATTTTTGGAATTTTAAGAGACAATTTGGCTCCGTGGTATGGGCGCTGGGCTGGTAATCTGGTGGTATAAGGGCCAAGCCATCCACCTTGCTGCTCACTGGAATGTTTCTTGGTTACCCCGAGTTTTACATCTTGGCTGCGCCTTGTTTATAGCCAGCTGACCTGCCTTAAGCCAGTTTGGAATTTAAAAGTGCTACATTAATGAAAATTTTTTGTTTCCAATTTTGTACGTATTAGCCGTGAAAAACCCCTTTAGGGTGAGCGCTCAATTAAGGAGAAATACATACAACTGTACACCCATACATACATACACCTCATACACATACATACAGCTACGTAGATATAAGCTTCTGACTCTTATCCTATCCTTTGATAACATTAGATTGATCAATTAATCCGTGTTTGTCCATTCTTTAGGTAACAGTCACTGGCTCTGGAGGCACGTCTAAGCTTGAAATAACATTCAGCATGGACTCAGAACGCGAGATAGCGCATTTAGCGACACAATATGCCGGTACCGAAATTAACATGATACAGGACTACAAAGGGGTAAATAAGTTCGTTTCCTTTTGTTTGCTCAATTGTTTTTCGGAAATTGTGGAATCATCCTCGCCAGTTATTGAGAATAAAACCAAATATTCATTTTATTTTAGTTTTTGCTTTTGTTTGTTTAATTCTTGTTTATTTGCATGTATTTTTTGTTTACTCTTTCTATTGTTTTGTTTGTCTTGTATTTGCAGGTGTGCTTCGAATATATGTTTGATTGACATAACCAGCTCTTACCAGAAAAACTAGTTTTACCCAAAGGCACCCGACCATTAGCAAATGAATGAGATGCTATATAATGATATGGGCATTTTCTCCACAGGGAAAGACATACACGATTTACCCACAGGGATGTTATTCTTCACCGCTCGAGGGTAAATTGTTTCCCCCTGACCAACTCAAGGGCTTACTGTTCGAAAGAGGTGGAAAACTTGGACTGAATGGCGTCAAGGTTAATGTGTATGGAGGAATGATAGATCAAGGCAAGTGATGTACTTCTTTTGCAAATATTTCGGCGCACGATCTAGAACCTACATCATTTCCTCATAACTGAAAAATGAATTTCTTCATAAGACTATTCTTTTCTGAAATGGACTCCTTTTCCTTTTGGTCGCAAAGAAATTTATTTTGAATTCAGTTAAATTGACCTGAAGAAAACAAACAATAGAGACGATGGAAAAAGCGGGAAAAAGGAAAAAATGAAGGCAAAAAGTGAAGTCTCGGAAAAATACAAGAGCGGCTAACGTTAGCCGGATCGACATCCTCTATCGTTGTACGTCGAGAATATTAATGTGTGCAATCGTGCGTAGCAAAAGGAGAAGACACTTAACTAAACCTCAACGACAGTGATGGAAATGACAGATCCTGAAAACGTGCTATGAATTTGTAAATAGATCGAATTTTTCATCGGTCGGTAAGGCACCAAAACAGAAAGATAAAAATTAGATGAAGTACTTCAAGTAATGGATGATGATTTTGATTGTGGATGTTTCAACCTGCAGCCCACTGGATTTTTACTTTCGAGGATAGAGAAGTGTGCATACCAGTCAGCTTTGGTTCAACGGAATCGGGATCTGCCACCTCTGGAAGGTATTCAATAGACTGTAATTTTGTAAAGCACATTCTGATTGAGTTTTGCAACCAAAAGCCAGTATAATCACAACTAATCGGAGCGAAAAAAAATATCAAAATTAAGCCCCGAAGAGCTATGAGCAAAAACAAGCTAAGTCGTAGCTCATGAAAATTTTGGCGACCAAGTCTTCATCTAATCCAGTTTTCACCCAATTGGTTGAGAGGATGGCGCAAGTTCGCTAGACCCAATATTGAGCCAAATTATTTCACTTTGTCGTTTGGCTTTCGCTTCGCATGATATTTTTCTCACCAAATCATCTTTTATTTTCCTTGTTTGAGCGGCGGATCGCCACAGAAAAAGCAGCTCAGTAGTTTGCGTAGTTTGCGTACTCATTTGAGGCGCAAGTGGGTAATATGCCAGAAGGGTCCATTTTTCTGATTTCCTTCTGCGACTTACAAAAATCTCTGCACAAGTTCCCTTTATGCCAATGAAGTTCACTTGTGTACTTGCCAGTCTTTTATCAGTCTCTCTAGCTTGCCTGCAAACCTATGGCATTTATAGCATCAACAACAACAACGAACACAAAACTCAAATTACCAGAGACAAAAAAAAAATGTGAACAACCTGCTCTGCAGGCTCGCGCATGCCATGTCGCACTTTTTGTTGTCATTTTTGTTGTTGTTGTTATCATTGTTTTTGGTTGTTCTAACATAGTTGGATAGGTAGTGGTATTTAATTAACACAACTCAGAGAGGTTTTGTGAAATCCAATATGTTAGATGCTGCTGTAAATCGTGCGAATCGACTTCTGATAGTCCGAACTGAATAAAGTCACCTAAAAAAATACCAGATCAATGCAGTTTCAATCTCAAACTTTCTGTATTAACAGTGTGGCTTATTGACGAATTTTTGTTTGTATTAAGCTTTTTGGATTTGAGCGAAAGCGTCGATCCTGAAAAGCTTCAGATCCCAGAAGATTGTAATGCTTCGCCGCAGCGTAGATCCCTTCCAGACCTGCTACATCCAAAAAATATTCATACCGCGAGCGTACAAGCCGCTATGAAAAGAGGATTCGCCTGGCTCGGCACTCAAAGGGACCAGAAAAGAGGATTCCCTTGGACTCATTTTCAGAGGAGGGGATTCCCTTGGACTAACTAATCGGCAGCTTGCTGACAAAGAGTCATTATCTTGACCCGTCAAAGGATAATAGAGAACGGACAGTCCAACCTTTGCTCAGTCGAATTACTTTTGAATAAATAGATGAATGTAGTTACCTCTTGAAAATGAAATTAAAGTTGATTTGTTAATCATTACTTGAGCAAGTGTAATTATAGCTAATTATTCGCTTGTTAACGGTATAATAATGATCTCCCTTTCACCAGCATGACGCTGAGAAAAAGCAATGTGAATTGCCTTCTGATGAGAAAGTTAAATGTTGTAAAATCTCTCGTGCGAGTCTGGAGGCCACACCGTGTTCTATTGTTTTTGCTTCGGTTATTATTTCACCTTTGTGAGCATTTTTTTCCCATGGAAAAAATTTTGCCTGCAGTGGAAGAAGTAAAAAAACATCAAAAGTTGACCATCATCTTGAAGGTGGGAAAACAAAAATAGCAAGCAATCGAAAAAACAGAAAAAAAGAAACAGCAGAACGGATGATAGAATTAACCTCAAACACAGTTGAATCAATATCAAGTGAGCGGAGTCCTCAAATTAACTTAGTTCGTTGAGGACGGTCTCAAGGAGTGATGAGTGATGGCTTGTACAGCTTTAAAATATTACCCAGTTTAATGGCTAACGGTTTGATTTCTTTTCGTTACAGTTAACAGAAATGTTAAAAACTAACTTCAGTAATTGTGAAAAATTAATGATTGATTTTCACTATTCTCAACCACATTAGCTCGCTCGCTTTTACCATTGGAGCCAAGTAGTAGTGTAATTTTCTGTTTCCCTGCAATAGCCATAGGAAAAGAAGCAACAGTCTAAGATTTTGACGCTTTCAAAATCACACGTCGTGTATAGGAAAAATTTTATGGTTAACTCAATATTTTTACGACTAATGGTTAAAATTTGTCCATTCTTGCGCCTAGCAGCTAAATTTTTTAGCCATCTTACGGTTAACGGCTAACTCCTTTGACGCCTAACTTAAAAGTTTGTAAACTTCTCGGACAAGAATGCATGTCAAAGCTGAATAATTCCTTAATTAATGACTCTTGGATGGGTAAATAGAAGAGTTCTCCAACGGTATTAGTTCTTTCACTATCATAAAACTAAAGCAGTTATGACTCGTCCGATAAAGTATTGTCTAATGTGCATGTTTGGTTGTTTACAATAAATACCGAATAATAAACCGTTTAATTGTTTGTCTCACGATGTAGATCGCGATGTTTCAACTGCTTACTGCTAGTCTTCATCAGGCGATGGGGTCGACTTCTCACGCGTTACCATTTGTTGTATCACGGCGATCTAATGCTATCGACAGATTTCGATCCCCATTATTCCGGTAGTTGTTCCTTCGGCGGTTTGCTGTCATACCGGTCTCCCGATGTGTTCCTTGATCGTTGGTCTCCACGCCTCAGGAATTTTGCTTCTGGAATTTCGCTGTGATACAAATGGTAACACGTGAGCAGTCAACCGCATTGCCTGATGAAGACTAGCAATAAGCAGTCGAAACGTCGCGACCTACATCTCAAGTGACTACATCGTGAGACAAACTATTAAACAGTTATTATTACTTACCACCACGATGAGCAACAACCTCTTTTATGATATTAAATACCCTTTCGGGAACCCGTGACGTCATACAAGATTTTGAATATTTTTAAGTTCATTTTTTTGCGGAAAATATACTTTCTGGCCTTCAAAACCGCATCCACAACTGAGCCACAATTATTTATAATTCTAATGAAAGCCTTGTTGAACCTCATACTTGATAAGTTTCAACGCCAAATAACACTCGTCCTCTAATATATTCAGGACCTCTTGTTTTTCCCAAATCTTCAACGAAAATTACTAATATGTGAATAGACAGCAGCTCAGTTTAAGATGTAAATGGCTGAAAATCACTACTGCGAAGCGTATTGTTTCAGTGGCATCGAGCAGTGCTTCCGCAATGAGTCTTCAAGATGACGTCTTTAAAACAGCAAATACAAATATATAAAAGACACAGCAAACAATACTTACTTTAAAATGATTTGCACAGCAAAAAAATCACGCGAGAAGCCAAATCCTACCTCCTTGCAATGACTAATTTCATAAAAGCTTTGGCCTAAAGGCTTTCAGTTTTTTTCTATTCTCTTTAATCATTTTGGGGATATTTTTTCCTGGAAAAATCGGTTGTAATTTGCCACTTTAACTGAACAAATCAAAATTAGTTTTTTTTTTTAAAGCTTTGAGCAGCTGTACGCTCGCTTTTATTTTTTTTTTTTGCTCTGCCAAAATGGGGTGAAATTTCATCTCTTTAGTTAAGCAATTATCCCCTTGTGCACCACTTAAGGCGTTTTAAAATTAGTTAAACTTTGAACGGCTGTATAAACATTTGGTTCGATAAAAAAGGTGAAACAGACCCTAAGCAATTACAGAGGCTCTAAAGGGCAGTTGAGCGATACAGCGTCATTTGATGATGAAGACTTATTTTCTCGTTGTTTTTCTTCTCTTTTGCTTTGCCAGCGCCAAAACAAAGCCGGCAAAGAGAGAGTTGAAATGCGGTACTGGTAAGAAAAAGGGTCTTACTTTTTTTGTTTTTCTAATTTCAAACCTTCAAATGCTAATAGTTTACAGTTCCTTTTTCAAAACCATAAATAAAGATGAAATTACATAACGTTAACTATATTTAAGCGAGCTTATCCAGCCTATAACTTTATTTAAACCAAATCTAAAACAGGTTTTAAACCTTTTTTGTCAAACATGGTATAAAAAAGTTTTCTAGATAGAGGTTGCTTCAACTGATGTTTGTCTACTTCAAATCTAGCACAATGAAAGTAAAAGTTAGTTATCACTTGAATCCTAAATAAAGTTTAGTCTCAGTTTCACTTGGTTCAACTAAACGTGTTTTGCTGGTGTGAATGGGGCATAAGATTATTAAAGAATTTCAACCTTTTTTTTCTTACCTATCTTTCATTCAACGTATTTTACCGCAAATAGATAAAGTGCCGCTAAAAAAGATTTGGACATTTTGATTCACAGGGCAAGGCGTACACGGTATACTCTGGGAGATGTTTTGTTTCACCGATTGAAGATGATGATGTATTCAACTCGGAGGAACTCAAGAGCTTGACTTTCGACACTAAAGGAAAGCTTGGAATGAAAGGCACCATGGTTGGAGTGTATGGAGGAATAGTGAACGGAGGCAAGTGAAGTACTTGACTGTAAATATTTTGCCATGAGACCTGGAACCTACACTCTCGAATTTCCTCATAAAACTATCTCTCCCTTAAAAAGGACTCTCTTCTATTCGGTGACAAATAAATATTTTTCAATTCAGTACACTTGACCGGTGGACAATATCTACCGTTGTGAGTCGAATGTCTGCAACCGTGGCCAGCAGTAAGAGAAAAATTTAAACAAATCTTTACGATTGTCGGACGTACCGTTTTGTAATTGCATTGACTTGCCTCTTTTTTCATCGGTTGTGGGGGACTGTAAGACAGAAATATAAATTTGATGGTTAATGATTTCGATTGTGGATGTTTCAACCTGCAGTTCATTTGACTATAACTTTTGAGTTCGGCGACCTATGCATACCAGTCAGTTTTGATTCAAAGGAATCGGGATCTGCCACCTTTGGAATGTATTTAATAGACTATAATATTGTAAAGCACATTTAAATGAGTTTCGTAACTCAAAACCATCATAATGATGACAGTCAATCAGGGAGAAGGTAAATATCAAAGAAGCAACCGAAAACTGAAAGGAAAACACAAGCTAAGTAACAGAGGCGAATGAAAATGCGCGTGACCAAGTCACGATATCGATTTTAACTCTGCGTTCAATTGGTTAAGAGGATGGCTCAAGTTTGCCAAACCCCATATGGAGCAAAGTTATTTGACTCTCCCGTTTAACTGCTTGCTTCTCATAATATTTATTCCCATAACATCTTTTATTTGAGCGGAAGATCGCCAAAAAAACAGCAGCTCAAAAGTATTAGTTTCGTAAACATACACGTTTTTTAGACGCGATTAGAAAGTGGACAGTTTTGAGTTATTTTCCTAAGGCTTCCTTCTCTACACAAGTTCCGTTGGCCCGATGAAGTTTATTTAAACAAACCTTTACGATTGTCTAACGGACCCCAGTCTCCAAGCTTGCCCACAAACCTTTGGAACGTTTTTTAAAACTCGCTCCGGTAGATGCTGCCCTTAATCGTGTGAAATTAACTCGTCAAAGTCCGAACTGAATGAAGCCCGTTTGAAAGAATATTAGATCAATGCAGTTTCGATCTCTAACTTCCTATTTTAGCAGCGAAGCTTATTCATAACTGTTTCTTTGCATTTAGGTTTTTCGACTTAAAGACCAGTTCGGATCCTAAAAAGTTTAAGATACCAGAACATTGTAGCGAATCGTCGCCGATGCAGCACAGATCCCCTCCAGATATGATTCATCCATACAGAATTCATACCGCGAACCTTCAGGCAGCTATAAAAAGGGGATTCGCCTGGCTCCTTCCTAAACGCGATCAGAAAATAGGATTTTCATGGAGTCATCTGCAAAGGAAGGGTTACCCCTGAAGTAACATGCATGTGGCTGACAAAGAGTGATTCTCTTGCCCCGTCAAAGGATAACATACTGAGAATGGACTGTCCTATCCTTAGTCAGTCGAATTTCCTTTTAATATTTGAATAAATGCAATCAAGAATGTAGTTGTTTTTTTGTGAAAATGATATTAAAGTTGATTTGTTTATCATCGCTCAAAAAATTATATTATTCTTTAACAGTTATGATAATGATCTCTCTCTCACTCGAATTACCTTTTGAAGAGAATATGAGAAAGTGAAATGCATTTTAAAAAGTGTTGTTTGATCGTATCTGCGAAACCGATGGCCGCTCCATGTTTTAAAGTGGGCGAAATAAGATTCTTCTAAATTCTATTTTTGCATTGCATTATATTGTTTCTACTGTCATTCCACTTTTGCGATCATTTTTCCATCAGAAAATCCTCTTATAGTGGAGGAAGTGCACAAAATCAGTGAAATGAACACAAAGTACACCATCATCTTGAAGGTGGGAAACAAAAATCAAAACTATAAAACACAAAAAAAAAAAAGACACAACAAAACGGATGCAAAATTTAAATTATTTTGGGATAAAATA